GCCTTCTCACCGGCAGCAGCGGCACAGAGCTCCCTTTTCTTCCCAAGAGAGCAGATGGAAGAATGCCAACCAGTTCAATACTCGCTCTTAGATGGAGAAACTCAGAATAATCTTCCATACAGAAACTTGATGGGTGCTCAGTTGCTCCATGACTTGGCCGGATAAAGGAAATCAAAAGGACCAGTGGTTTAAATTTTTAGGTATACATAACCAATAGCTTCAATACTCCATACATAATATACATAAATTTAAGCTTATTATATACTTGGGGGGCCTAGATTATTAATTAATTAGCCTAGCAGCTAAGCTACGGTAGATTTGTTCACTCTTTCAATTCTCCATCTCCTTCAAACGTGACACTTATTACTGTGTGTAGATTTTTCAGGTGAAATTTGAATGGGAATGGGAGATGATGATTATGATATGGTTATACAAATGGTTGATCTCTCTCTATTGAAATGTGTGGTTGGCGATATTGGGATATTGAGGGAATTTGTGTGGCTGAAAGTTCAATATTGAATATTCAAAAGGTCTTTAAAGGGGTTGAAGGGGAGGGGGAAATTTAATCGGATTGGATCATCATAGTTTTGGTGGTGGTGGTGGTGGACCATATCTTTGCAAATTGAGTATGATTGTTCGAGCAAAAGCGAATTAGCATATATATGGTGACCTTTGTAATCGATCTTTTAGCTTTGAGGATGGCCTTTTGCCCATCCCTTACCTCTTTCTAATATAATCTTGTGGTTTGCTTGTTCCAACAAGTGGCTATCGATGTTGATCGAAGAAGAAAATTAACTTCGACGGTAAATGTTGATGAAGTGAAACAAGAAGAGAAAAATGTATTTGTGTGTTTTTCCAGTGCTTCTCTATAGTTTACGAGTTTTCTCGTGGTTTTGTGTTTTTGATAATTCAATCGATCCGTCTTGTAGGAAAGAGAGGATCTTTAGCTGATGTAGAACTTTGGTTTGACTCCTAACACTAACCAGGACTTTAAGGTTGTCCAACACTTACTTGAGTACTTTGAGATCGTTTTTGTTGGTTTGTTTTCTCGTAGATTTTGTTGGGATTGGTAGAGCCAAAACAATAGAAGATCGGAGAAGAAGAGGAATGAATTGAAGTGTGGCTGCAGAAACCTTGCTCGCTGGAGCACAACATTGAGGCACTGTAGAGAGCATCTCAATGCAGTCAAAATTAGAACAAAAACACGAAGGTGTGCGGGTGAGCATCTATCGCTACAAAATTCATAGCCTCGAGGGGCTATGGACAATGTCTCAATGCTACGACGATTTTCCCTTATATACATTAGTTTTGTTTTATGTTAATTATTATGTTGTTGCATAATTAAGTGGCGGCTGAAAAGTGTCGTTGCACTAAAATAAGAGGAAGAGCGTTTGCAGCTTTAAAGAAGATCGAGATCCTGGGGTTGTAGAGCAATGTGAGCAACCAGTTCTTGTGAGTATTGTGAGGTTTTCCATTCCTCGTATTTCTAACCTCGTATTGTTGTAGTTCCTAAGAGCTATGTGATTTTTGTTGAAGCATCTAGAATTGATAGATTATTGTATGCCCATTGTACCAATCCCATTATAGTAGAACCCGTGTGTAGCGGAAGACTGGACGTAGCCATAGTTTGTGAATTATAAACTTTGTGTCGTTTGTGTTTTCTCTACATATATATTCTCTCATCGTGTGGTTAGATTTAGTTTTCACGGAATAACTGGGGAGGGGAAAAAATTCTTGGTAATTACTTTTTCCAACAAGTGATATCTGTAAGGTTTAGCATCATGGGATCCCGTGGACAGTCCAACTTTGAAGAGATTTTAAGATTTGACAGGGAGAGTTTTGGATTTTGAAAGATGCAAGTGAAGAATCTTCTCACGTATAAGAAGATGCACCATACTCTGAAAGAACAACAAATTGGGATGACAAACAAAGCTTAGTTGGAGGTGGATGAACAGATCGTAGCAATTATCAGGTTGTGATTATCTGATGAACATGGCAAGTCGTGGTGAATGAGATGATGGTGACAGGACTGATGAAGACATTGACACGCAGATATTAAAAACCCTCTGCCAACGCAAGGTATTTATTATCGCGAGATACTTTAATATTCATATGAAAAATCGTTTACCAACGTAACAACAAAGTATATCATTTGCAAAATTTTAACACAAATTTTGTATATACACAATGGAAACCTTTTAATACAAACTCATGGTTACATTTCAATAACTTTAATCAATAAAGTGTCATGGTAACATTTTGATATAAATAAATAAGAAAACGAACATTTCAAAAGTACAGGGGATTGAAATGAAAGAAAAGTTAGAAAGTATATTAATTAAAATAATCGTTCATAGACCAAAATTAACAAAAGTGAAAAGTACGAGAAGAAAATAGTATTTAAACTTAATATCTTAAGAAATTCACTATGAACAGGTTTCGTAACGTTCTCATTTCTTGTTTATGTTTCTTCCTTTATAATATAAATAAAATAAAATTGCATGACCCTCAACACTCATATATTCAAGAATAATAAAAATATACTTATTTATATTTTGTAATAAATTAGAAACCGGAACAAGAAAGAAGAAACTTAGGGCCTGTCTGGTAACGTTTCCGTTTCTTGTTTTTGCTTCTTCATTTTTAATAAAGAAAAATAAATTGCATGACCCCAACGTCCATGAATTCAAGTGCGATAAAACAATTCTTATTTATGTTTTGGAACAAATTGGAAACAAGAGTTGTTTTCAAAATAAATATGTTTAATAACTCTTTTAGTGTTCCTAGTTTCCAAATACCAATTTGGGCATGGAAAGGATCGAATTGTGGACGTGGGGAGTATGTGATGGTCCAAGAATGTCTCCAGAACCACCAACTAAAAAGGGATCAATTTTTGGACATTCTAGAAACGACAAACAAGATTGACTATCAAATATGTCTATTTCTCAAAAAATGAGAAACATGAGCGTTACCAAACAAGCACTAACTAATCTAGTTCTTATTTGTTTTTCCCGCCTAAATCTGTTGTACAATACAGTAATCTGTCAATGGGCCTAAACAGGTTAAGCCCAGTTAAAGGTCGAAACGAACGGGCTTTAACAAATACGAAGCCCAATCCAAATAACAAAGAAGCCACGGTGTAAGTTTTCAATGCGGCTCATTTTATAATTTTTATCTACCATTAATTGTCTTAATTATTAGCTCACTCTAAATAATTTTTATTAATTATTTGAATTAAAAAATTGAAGGTAAATCTTCATTTCAATGCAAACATTGATTTATCTAAAGAAATGAAGTAGAAGTTGGATTTGAGTACAGTTAATCGTTTTCAATTTTTATTTTTGTAGGACTTTTGTGTAATTTCCAAGTAAGAAGCTTAATGGTCTATTTGTGATAATTTAATGGTACAACTCTTATAGATGAAGCATGATTTATTACCATTTTTTTAGTTTCTACTGATTGAGTTATAAGTTATATTAGTATTTTCTGAGTTTTAAAAAATAGTTTCTGAAATTATAAATTTTAAAGATGACAGTGTAACAATGAAGTCAGATTTTTGCAAATTTTCATTTAAAAAGGAGTCAAAGTTTGCAGTCCCAATATAATATGTAGATTTTATTTTAATAGCTTTCAAAATATATATTAAATGATTATTTCATGTAAATAAAACATTTCCAATTAAAAGCAGATATTACTAATCGGCCATAATTTAGTTGTAATAATATATAAAAAAATCTAAAATCCTTCGAGAAAGAAAATCATTTCAAAATAAATTAAAAATATATATTATAGTTAGAGAATCCAGTCTAATTCCTATTTTTAAAAATTTAAATACTATTTTGTTCCTTTTTAGTATCTTTCAAAATGTCTATTTTGACTAAAAAAATGTTCATTTTGACTCATATTTTAAAAAGGTTGATTTCGGTCCTTACATTTTCAACTTTTATTTATTTTAGTATTTGTAATTTCAAAACGTCTACATTTAAAATGTGATTATTTTGGTATCTATTTATAAAATTTTATAAATAATAAAGTGGAGCACATATACATAAAATTATGACTATATCTAGTAAACGAAGTATCATGCTAAAATTTTAATTTAAATAAATGAAATATAAAAATAAAAGAATCAAAATGAACGCTTAATATTTCAAAAATATAGTAATTAAAATAAATAAAAACTAAAAATATAGAAATTTAAATAAATATTTTAAAAATACATCAACTAATAAAACTCAAAGCTACCTAAACAAATGTGTGTATGTATATATATAAAATATAAACCTTTTTAACAACTTAGAATGATTGATGCCACGTCTCCTTTGAGAGCAATCAATTTTTGAGATAAGTTTATCTTTATTTCTTTTCAAAGAGAGCCGTTGAACTACTTCTTTATGATAACGATTTAACAAATCTAACCCACACATATATTTATAATATCTCTCAATTTCCAAGATAAAAAAATGGACTTCCACCATAGTTCAATTACATTTTTTTCCTTACGTGCAAACTCATAACTTTGATGATATATGTCAATTTCTGCTCGAGTTTTACTTTAGTTAGGATTTCTCATTTTCTCTCTTTAGTTTAGTTCCTACTATTAGATTTCATAGTTTGTTGCTTAGTTAATTAATTTTTTTTAGTAACTCACAATCTCATAATTGGAAATAGATACCAATACGGTTTAACTAAGTTCATGTTGACCTTAGTTAATTAGTTGATCCCTCTTATTTTCCAGTTACATATTCTAACTAATTACTATCTCAAATATATTTAATTAGACTTTTCTTTAGTAATGAAGTGGTGCAAGATTATTTACTCTCTTGTTCAATATAGTATCAGAGTAGGAGGTACAATGCTTTGGATCCGGTACTATGCTTTAGATATTGTGCAAATTTTTAAATCCACATAAGAATATTAAATATCTTATAAGTGATTAAATTTACCATAATTTATTAGTTTAAACTTTTAGGTTCATTAATTTGTTTAATAGTTACTATTGAATTCCAGAGTTCCTTTGTAGTACCATAGGTATAAGTGGAGATTAGAATTTACGTAGTTTAAAGATATATAATTTGATCAATTGAGTTATGTTCAAGTCAAACATTTTAATTTGAGATTATTTAGTCTATATTTAGTATCAAAGTTGGTAAAAACCGAATGAAAATCAAAGTTACAAACTTACAAAGGCTTAGACCATAAGAACTGTCTTTTTTTTTTTTTTTTGTAAGTGTTGATTCATGTTGAGTTTAGTTGAAGATTAGAAATTTTATTGACATTTGAAGTCTGATTTGATCTAAAATGAAAGTGAAGACAAACAATAACAACAGCGCAATTAATACCATATAAAAAGGAAATTATTTGAATATATTTGAGTTAGATTTTTTGTTTTTAAACATGATTTGTAAAGCGTATTTATCTTGTTTGGAATGATATTCTCAGATTCATGTTAGCATATTAACATACATGTTTGAAGATCATGTCATCTATCGATCAACATAAGTAATAGAATAATAAAGATTAAAATAATTATTTATTAACAAATGGAGCATATTTTAATTGGTAAGTTAAGATATATATCCTCAATCAAATGGTTGTAGATTTGAATTTCCACTTCTACACATGGTTGAACAAAAAAAAAGGTGATTAATTGAACTTTTTGGAAAAAAATTAAACTTCGAGATAAAAAGGCAAATGGATGACTATTTTATTTTTTTTAGTACAACAATTTGAGGATATGGAAGATTAGTATATGCCAGTACCCTCGTATTCTAAAGTATCTCTACAATGGTATGATATTGTCTACTTTGTGTATAACTCTCACGGTTTAATTTTTTGCTTCATCCAAAGGGTCTCATATCAATCGGAGATAATTGTCATCACCTATATACAATAAATCACCCTCTTTCCTAATTAATATGGAACGTTTTTTTTTACACTCTACAAATCCAACATAAACTAATGGTTGAAATAATGCAGTTACATTCTTCGATTGTTTCTTTCTAGTATATTATGACAATGAATCCAAAAATTCAAACGTACACAAACATATTTAAATTATTAGCCAAATTATTTATAAAAAAAAAGTTTTTCAAAACTATTTTTTCTTAGCTTTCCAAATTGATTTTGAAAATGTTAATAAACTCTATGTAACAATTCAATTTCTTAATTATTAAAAACAATCCCACAAAAATGAAATGAATATTAAACGAGGCCTAATTAATTACATTACATGTCATCTTTTGTTTATTTACCCTAGAATCAATCTTTCAAAATTGCATGCCATATTATGTCTTTCCTTAAAATCACTCTCTCAAAGAAACTCCAAGTTGCTCGACAACCTTATTCTTCACAAATCAAACAATTTCAAAAATATTTTGAATATCTCTCACCATAGCCAACAAATTATGTCACACTAAATATATATAATTAACTTCCTCAGAAGCTGACCTTTCAAAATCTATATTTCCTTAAATCTGTTGCAGGTCTCCCACTTCGAATTATTATTCATTTTATAATAAACTTTCATTCCAAATCCGACACCCACCACTGGAAAGAACTATTGAATATTATATATATATATATATATATATATATATATAAAGTAATCAAATACAACCTTAATCTTACTCTACATTCAAATCCATGGTGGACAACTAATCAACCAAAAAAAGGATAATCTAATAATTAAAAAAAAATAATTAGAACGAATTTAAAATTATACTTCACTGATTTCACCTTCCCTGCATACTCCCACTTCCACCATCATTGTCTTCTTCTCCTTCGTTCTCCTCACTCTGCAACAATTTCTTCTCGGAGACTGACCAAAAACATGAACAAAATCACTCAATTACACTTAAAAATGACATCTTTTTCAAGTTTCTTGCTATTAAACATCACAATACCCAATACTCACCCTGTCCCACAAGTTGGGGTCTGGTTTCTTCACAACCTTCACAATGTCGATGCTCGCCGGGCTCGGGCTCTTCCACTTGCATGTCGGTTGGGGCACGCGGTGTCGGGTGTACTTGCTGACTGTTAGCCCGGTCGTCGAGTTCATTCGGGCGTCCGAGAAGTAAAACAAGAAGGCCTTTTGGCAGGGGTTTCGGCTGACGGGTCGGGTGTTGAATGCATAGGCGGTGTAATCCGCGCGTCGGTACCAATTGAGGAATGTTCTGGCTGGCATTTCGACCTCCCGCGGTGACATAATGCCGCGGAAGACCTGGATGGCGAACCCCCAGGAGACGGACACGGTCCAGGTTTTGGACTTGTGGTAGCATATGGACTGCTGCATTAGCCCCGCGGAGTCGAGATCCATTGGAATTTTGAGACGTTGGAGGGCCTGGAGGCGTGTGGCATTCGGGAAGATCGGCTCGACGACGTCGAGGTGGTGTAGCGACACCAGCGGCGTGATCGGGTGAGCTGCGAGTAGCCCGAATAGATTTCCATACACATCATACTGATTGATTCAATTCAATTCAGACCAAGAAAAAAGGATTCAGTAAAAATTACAATACACGCAGAAGAAGTTCAAAAGAAGTACAGGACAATAGACAAAGATGGATTATTTGATTTCTTTGTTCGAATCAGGGACACGTGGCACTGTCTGACAACCGTTTGTTTTTATGACAGGTCTTGTCTTTTCGACAAGGTGGGTCCCACCCCATACCAAATAGTAGATCTTCGGCGACTTTTGAGTTTTCCCTTTTTTTTCTTGTGTATCATTTTAATAAAGAAACTTAATTTGACTTTTTTTTTTTTTTTTGTCTATTTAACTACTTGAATTTACAAATACCATTGAATTGAGCCTATGATTTGAGTTGGTGTAAATACTATCTGATATTGGCAGTTTTAACTTCCATTTATTTGGTTCATTTTAATATCTGTATTTTTTAAAAAGTAGTCAATTTGATCTTAAAATTAGTAAGAAAATAATAAGATGAAAACAAAAACCATCAATTTATTAAAATATAAGGACCAAAATAAAATGAAGGTACATGAATCCAAAGATATAAATACCGATGGTATTAAACCATTTGAGTTTTATCCCTATAATTTGAATATTTTAATTTAGTTTAAAGGATTTGATATAATCTCACAAAACGTGACACATAATCTATTTATTTATCTGATTATGAATTGTTGGTTTTCATTCACCTAATTATACTACCATACTATAATGGGATCTCGGGCCGAAATTGAATCTTTAAAAATTATATTTTGATCTGTATATCCATAGAGAAGTATTTTAATTCCTAAGTTAATTATTTAAGAGAGAGATTCTAAATTCCTCAACCCCCAAGGATTCTATGACTAAAAAATGTGTGATGTCAGAATTAAATCCTTGACCCAGGCGGCCTCGGGAGCACCATAACTCGGTTAATGACTCGGTATAACTCGGTCCATCCCGGCACTAATGAAAAAATGCGCCCCAACAAAAACAGTTCCCAATTGTCCAGATGGCGA